ATTATTAGATCTAACGACCATCCGTCTATGAAGACCTTGTCTGTCACCTTCTGATGATGTCATCCTCTGCACCAGCGCCAACACAACAGTTGCCTGAAAGATGGTTCTAGAGTTGGGCTGGAAACGGACTCAAATTATCAGGGTCAAGAGCCTCTTGCTCCCTCTGTGTCCTGCTTGCCCAATGATAAGTAAAGAGACTTGTCAATGGGACCCCTGAGTGTATTCATATTCCCTGCCAGCTCCCACTGAGTTGGTTGGCACTCTGCGTAGCCTTGGCCAAAGTAAAAGCCAATCTACATGGGGCGAGCTGAAAGGAAAGGAGGACACGAGAGAGGGGAGGAGAGGAGAGATTGGTTAATTTCCCCTTGTGTGAAAACTCTCACCACTAGTGTAATCCAAATGAAATATTAAAGGAGACTAGACCTCACAACGTGTTATGAAGACAAACCCTGTGTGGCCCATGTGCTAACATGAACCAGTTTCCAATACAAGTGCTTTTTCTGCCTGTACAGTATTTATACATAATATGGTGATTGGTATGAAAATAGTTTGAATTATTTAACTTTAAAGTTAATATGTACTGATGAGAAAGGTATGACTTAAAATCTATTGTCATTATTGTAATGGCACTACACATATTTGCAAGGACTAAAAACCTTGTTGTAAATAAATGTGTTATAATTTACACAACTCGGTGGCCCTCGGTTTACTGTTTAACGTAGAGCCTGACAAGATATTAAGTATTCGAATAAGGTTTATTGCCAAGTACATGTTCACTTATACTTATAAATATTAAGAGGAAATAAAAGTTGTGTTTCACCTAAAATGTTTTGTTATCAAGGTGGCTCGGTCGAAGGTGCATTTTTAACAGCAGAGACGCTACTGAAAGATCATATAAATGTTATAGGAATACTTCAGGCAGCTATATATATATATATATATATATATATATATATATATATATATATTATAATTAGTAATTGTAGTATATCGTTTAGAGAATATTTTAAATCCAAAAGAAAACGTACAGAAGGACAAGAAAATGCATTTACAAATCCCTCTACTCCTTCAGTACTACGGACAGCTTCATGGATTTATCAATACACAGCACAGCTGGACTGCTGATATTTCAGAGCTATGGTCAGAGCCATAGATTCTTACTTGCCAGATAAAGGATAAATGAGTCGGGCAGACTCGACTAACATATTCAACTAAACATCCCCTCTGCCCATGCTACGAGTGGATGGAGAGTGGGGCTGGTAGGTTATCAAGGGGTATGCGTTTTGGTCATTTGGCTAATAAGGGGTTGGCATCCCGTACTGCTTATAGAACTGCTAGCCCAGCTACAACACAGGTACCCACACAGTCTCAAGGGACCATTTGTGCTCCTAGTGGCTGTCAAAGCTCCATCAGACTCCCAATCCATTCTGCAGAGAAACCCAGCCTGATGGTAGGTTCTCATGGCTGGTTAGCTCTGACTACCAGCTTTATTTTACAATCCATGCTACACTGAGTGATAGCCAGTCAGTCCGCCCATTGTCCTCTTTCCTTTGTGTGACCTCCATCACTTGTTTCTTCCTCTCTCCTCCATTACATTTTTAAAATATTTTTGATGGGGATGTCCCAGCAGAGTTTGACGCTTCAACACATCCATTACAGAGTAATCTTAAACTATAAACTCTTTCTAAACAACTTGAAATCCTACTAATTATGTATTTAGTTAATTTCTTAGAAAGGGGTTCTCACTTAGCCAGGTATGCTAATCTTTCTGGCTTGCATTAGAGCAAAAACTAATTGATTAATTTAATCTCACACTTTTGATCTTTCTTTTTCTGAAAAAGAAAAAATAGCTTGTTATTATTTCTAAACTGATATTTAATATTTCATGTACTTGTGGGAGGAATTTCATAAATGGTGTCTGTTGCAGCTTTCAGAGACCTCACTCTTTTGCAGTGCAGTTTCATTCTTTAAGTTAAAAAAAGCTCAACCTCTCAGAAAGGTGATGTGCTCATCAGCTTCATTGTTTGCAACAGCAGTAATGAAGGAGAAAAACTGATTACCACAATGAAAAGAAAATCTATTATATGGGAGCACAGAGGCAGGGAAATTGTAATGTGTAAGCTTTTTATATTCATATGTCCATGTGGAAGCGTACTCAAAGGGCTATCTGTCATTAATGCCTTTTGTTCCCTCGTGTCCAGTGGCTCTTAGTGCTTTTCTGCTTAGTGAAAACATCAGTCTTCCTTTCTAACACTCTGTTTTACTTTATTTTTTCCTCAACTGACAATGACTGAATGAAAGGCCCTACATTATTCCTGTTTTTATTATAACTACCGATTTAAAACAGTCTTTTAGAGATAATACAAAAAAGGGTGCTTACGTTTTTATTCTGATTTTAGTGGCCAAAAGCTCGTACTTGAAGTCAATAATTGCATCAAATGACCTTTTGGTCAGTTTGGTTTTATATTTGGTAACTATTTCGAAATATCTATTTCACTGCTTTAAATTAGTAGTTAATGCCTTAGAACCTTCAAAACAAAATAAAAATGCCAGACTTTATATGTTATACCTGGTGACTGCAATAAAATATACACTGCAAAGACAATGCTACTTGATGAATTCTTACTGTAAGTAAGTCATTCTCTATTAAATTAAAATAAGAAGTGCTGCCAATAAATCTGACATTTCTTTCCAACTTCTGAGCTTTTTAAATGTCTTATGTAAATTAAAAACCCACTTTCAAGGTGCCGATGGATGGAAATGTAATCATAGTGTTGGGGAAATATTTTCCTGGGCGCATAACTTTGAACCAGTTTATCAGTTTGTATTGACCTCGCTGAGCACAGGCCTGCAGCCTTGGGCAGCTGTGCTCTCAGTGTTTTGTCTCCCTGTTCCTGCCAGTTGGCGTCAGCTGATAGAGGTGTTATAGTGCTTTATCTTGTTATGCACAATGTTGATTATTCTCTCAGAACTAGCTAAATACATGGGTCTGGGGTAGAGATCTTCAGAATTGATTTGGCAACCGCTGTGTCAACTCGTGGCACAGCACATGTCTTGTGAATTCTCCGGGCGAAGCTCCAAATAAACCATCAGTGTTTACCATCAAAGTTCCTGCTCTCCCCATGTCTCTGAGTCTCGTCTCCATTGCTTCAGAGGTTTCCATCAAAATTAGCAGGCCTGGGCAATAGGAAAGTCCAGGTAAAGCTGATCCAAAGAGCAGGATGCAATGAAAGCTGCACTAATAATGACTTGGTCAGAGAGGCCTATTCATCCGGCCTTCTCTGGGGAGCAGTGCACTACAACATTCTTCAGAATAATATGGACAGAAGTATCCCCTCAGTGAGCCTCTTTAGCATTGTGGCACTAACAAACAACCATGTTAAAGTCTAAATTTGGATAAGCATACATCCCAGCACCTGCTATCAAAATGTACCGCAGTAATTTAATATCTACTGTAATTTCAAACCCATCTGCGCTGCACAATGTCTACCCAGAATGCACATCACCTCACTGGAACAGAGCATGGCTCATCTTCCCAGCACTGCTGATCGATACAAGATGCCGGCTTTATAGATGACTGCCACATTGTCACAGTCAATACTATGGCAAATGGCAATTATGGACGCATTATGAACAATTTCATGGGTGAGCTCTCCTCGCCTCTTGGCAATACGGTTTCTATGACAGATTTGGCACTGGCAGTCTTGCGACACATCTGCCTTATTGCCTGTGTTTGCCTCACTCACTCACTCTGACATATTTGGATGTTCCATTCAGTCAACTACATAGAATTGGTCAGGAGAGAAAATAAATGTGTTCAGGGATTTGTGTGTGCCAGTGTACAACTATGAGTGCACTCATGAATAAACATGTGAATATGTATGTGCAAGTGTGTATACAACATATTTGTGCAAAAAGTGTACAGTATAGGCTACACAAGTATGTACGTATATGTTTTTGAGTATGGAAATGTTCACCTGGAACTACAAACATACACTATGTGCTCAGTTTTTTTAACAGTAAATATATGTACACTTATGCAATGTACATATATAGGCTATATATTCACAAACATGAATGAACTGATAACACACATCTTGTGATTCTGATTCGTATCTAACACAAACTTGTGTTACTTATCTTTTGTTTATTTTTGTCTTTTATTTTCACCTTCTGTGAGCAAGTCAGAAGTGCCAAAGTGCCCTTTTTTGTAAAACTTTATTGAGTAGGCTACTTGGCTGTGCATTATGCAAATGGTTAACAACATGAGTAACTAAATGTATTCATACTTCCTTTCAAACTTTTCCACTTGAACATTGCACATGAACAGATTCATGGGGGATATTGAACTGGGAAACAAAGGACCCTGGGAAAATTACCAAGTCTATTTGGGAAATGTGTTGTTTTTAATTAAACAATACATAATTTTCCTCTTGAAATTAGCCATTGTTTTGGTCTTAGGGGCCACCATACATTAGCTTATGTTACATGAATGCTGTTTGAATTTGATTTGCCTTCATTAGCTAAGTGAGCTAACAGTAGGCTATACCCGAGTTCAATAAAGAGAACAGGTACATTATCTAACTTTTAATCTTCTGTAAATGATACTATAACTTGTTGCTGAACATTTGCTTTACAGAATGAAAATTATAACTTTCCACAGAAAGTAAAACTTGATGCTAGCTCGTTTTCAATAAGCTAATGTTAGCTTTCAGCAAGGAGAGTAGTGGGGAAACGTGCATTAAAGGGAATGACACATTTTTGAGTCATTCTGTCTTGACATTGTTGAAATTGTAGACTCGGTAACATATCCCCACTTCTTGGTTAAACACAAGCATTGCTGAAGTGACACCGACTTCGTCACCCGGTGTAAAACCACATGCCATCCTATCCGTGCTCTGTCCTGCTTAGAGCGAATTTATCCGGGTAAACCGCGACCACCTCTGGTGCTTTCCCTTCAATTCACAACACTGAGCGTTTCGGGCGGTAATTGTTTTTTTCTCCCAGATACACATTTTCCCCCTCAGAACACTTTTATTCAAGGATAAACCAGCTGGAATCCGAAGAAACCAGAGTAGGCTAATTATCCCTGCATTGTTGTGGAGGCAGCTCGGAGGAGGGGATGGATGCGAGGAGCAGAGGCGGCTTTCTGACGGACCCTGCTCCTATGTGATGCAGCTGTTTATGCTGGATGTGAAAAAAAACCGGACACCCTGACGACTGCTCTTAAAACGCTAACGGGCGAGAAATCAGCGGCTATTTGTTATTCTGCACGTGTTGGGATTGCATATGAAGAGCTGGGAAAGCCATGTAGCCAGTGCCGTGCACACAGAGGGAGAGAATACACCGCCGCTTTGATTTTCTTATTCACATTTTCCTCGCTAGGGTGATTCCACCGTTTGTTTTCTTCCTCCTAAACAGTTTTTTATTTTGCTACAGACCTGCCCAGTGGGTTTTTGAGTTTTCAGCGTGGAAATCAAATACCAACTCGGTAATATCACAGAAGTGTGCGAGGAGAGAGGACAGCATTGGCATCTATCCATGCGCGCTCCACACCGGGCTATTTATTATGGAACTGTGACCCCAGTCGAGGTACCTACTACACGCGTTTTTCTACATCTACACTTTCTCTAAGGATTTTCACCACGTAAGAACGGAGTATTTTGAGGGTATCTTGGGTAAAATGCTCGGCTGTTTTGCCGGCTGTCAGTGACGCAACATCTCAAACAGACTGCATGAGAAATACATGCGTAGAAGGGCGTGAACTTACAGACACTAACCTCCTTTCCCGTTTATAAAGCATCTGCTTATCTATAAAGCCAGTTTCCTCCGTGTGCAATCCTATACCCTTCATTCATCCCAACTCATCCCGGGGCACTATGGATCTCAAAGCGGACTCTGAGGACATGGACTACAAGCGGCCGGCTCCCATTGAAGTTTTCGCCAGCAGGTCCACGCTGCATGGCATCTCGCACATGTTCACTTATGAGCGGATGTGTATCAAGCGCACCCTGTGGATTTTGTTTTTCCTGAGCTCCGTGGGTGTGCTGGTGATGGTGTGCGTGGACCGGGTGCAGTTGTACTTCCAGTACCCTCACGTCACCAAGCTGGACGAGGTTTCGGCTCCGATGATGGTGTTCCCCTCTGTCACCTTCTGCAACCTCAACTCCTTCCGCTTCAGCATGGTGACGCGCAACGACCTGTACCATGCTGGGGAGTTCCTTGCCTTGCTCAACGGCAGGTGTGTGTGTCTGGTTCCCATATATTAAAACCTGTGTGTTAAGGGCTGCCTGTAGCAGCTCTACCTGTTGGTATATGGTGTCAAGAGGCAACACTGGTTCCTCATCTTTAAATTCATACCATTCAGGATTCCTCCTCGCATATAAAAGTCAGTTTCTTATAACATAGGTTTCAACAAGACAGTATTCCGTGCACAGACTCACAAACAAACAGCTTGGATGATATGGTTTTGCCTGAGGGACTATGTGAGGATTTAGTAGTTGTTGATTCAGGATTTGATTGTGTTAGCAGCACAGCGTGAGATAAAAGTCACAAGATGCAAACAGTTGGCTGGAATTAAGGTGCCTTTTAAGTTGGGCAATTCTACTGCAGTTGTCACGAAAATGTATCCATTCTTGTAAAAATAATTGAGAACCGTTAAATCACAACATTTCTTAACCCACAGGCTATATATCACAACTCATTAGATATTTTGTAAAACTTGTTTAAATCTCCAAACAGTTGAACTCTGCTGAAATGTCCTTCAGTTTTCAATAGCCTTGTGGAAATGCAACTGTAGATGTACTTTCTTGTCTGTTTTGTCTCACATGAAATTGTACGTGTCTCAAGGAAGTGCAAAGCCGTGTTCTTACACCGGTCTCACTGGTTGTCTCTGTTAGGCCATCAGGAGATGTACAAACAACAAAAACATTGACAAAGCATGCAAATCCTTTCACGGCTCTCAGTGAATATGAACTTGGACTGACCTCAGCTTGACAACATTTGTCAAGGAATTGATTAAATGTGTTTTCTAAAAAGCAAGCATTATAGTTGATTATTTAATAATGTAGTGACATTACAGTTCATGTCCGCTGAACTCCACACTGGATAAAGGCTGCTGTATTTATGAAACCTCATGCGACAACATGAAATCTACCCCTCACATCAATCTGCTGGGATATGTTAATACAGTATTCGATTAAAAAAGAGGATAAGGAACACATTTTATCACAGATGTGAATCATGTGATTCCCCCAGGTAACAGATTATGGATGAGCTGCTTCTAAGTGGTTAATAGAAAATGATGAAGGAGAAAAGGCCGCTGGTGCAATTCCTTGCCTCATCATTTTACAGTTCATGTGATAGGAATATCTCAATATTGGATAAGTAGACAAGTATATTTTTAAATCCCCTGCTGACAAAATGTTGAGAGACGTATGTGTGTGATTCACAACCGCCTTCCTCTCCCTCTACACTTGTTGCCTTCTGCTCTGCTTTGATCATTTGAGTCTTTCGACTGCCATAACAAGCCCACCGTTGACTGTTGAATATTTTGACTTTAAATGTCCTCACTTTTTCATTCCTGTTTCTCCATGCTTATTCGGATCACGTTAAACAGTAAAGTACACGTAACCGTCCTTGACACTATTCACAGCTTGGGCACTCAAATTGACACAAGCATAGCTATAGATTACTGCAAAAAGAAAAAAATATCTACTACATACAAACACGTCTAAATACCATCTTGAACACATTATTCAGTGTATTTTTTGTTTATTGATTCACACAGCTCTGCTGCCAAAGGCACAGCTGGAGAGTACCTCCGTGGTACATGCTAGGATGACATAAATCCAATGTCCATGTTTTCATACTGAATATCGTTGCTCTGTGACCTCTATATATATATATATATATATATATATATGCATTGATATTACTGGTGATAACCTTACAGGAAAGAAAAGCTTCCATTGCTCAGGGCTGCAGACACAGTGCTTTGTGTGGTATGGATTTCAACTAGTGTGCCTACATCCTACATGGATTTGTTACTCCATGTGTGTTCCGTCAGCTGTAAAAGCAGACTATTAAAATATCAACAGAGGCTTTCATTTCTATTATTTGTCAGTGCAGGTTCAAACTGATTTCCTGTAAGATTCACACGAAGAAATAAGGCCAAAAACACAGAATAAACACCAGAGAGGAAACAGACATTTAAAGCATTGACACAAGTGACATTGGAATAAGTTGACTTTAGATGGAGAGGGGGAACTGCAAGCAGAGGCAATTAACTTGTGTCTCGTAAGCTGTGTGATGAACAAGTCTTTATCCCTGTGTAATTAGTGCTGTTTGTTAAGCTACAGAGTTTTCCCGCTGATTACAACTCGCATATCTCGCACTGTCTCTTGCCCCCACTGTTCAAGTTGGCATTGAGGGAGACGTCCCCTTACTTTTCGCCCTCTCAGAGATTGATCCTTTATGTGATGTTTTTCTAAAAATAAATGACAAGGTAATCTCATGTATTAGTTTAATTATACAAAAACATTAAAAGCAATAATATTAAGTACAGGAAGAGGCAAAAAACAGACTGGGCTTATTCACAGTGTTGGGAAGAACACAATATTCATATACATAATTGAACCAGCATGAAAATGATAATAGTGATGGCATACTATTGGATCAAGATATAATCACCTCAACAAATATGATAGTTATTATACCAGAAAATTGTGTGTGTGTAAACTGTGTATATGTGTATGAGCATGTGTATGGTGGATTTTGGTTTATACAACTGCATTAACTCCTGAGTAAAAGTATAATGACATGTCATTGTAAACAAGAACAACTAAAACAAGCACATGGCAAAACAACTTTCAAAACAACAATTCAATAATATTCTAAGCATATGTTGTAACATTTGTAAGAGGAAAATGTTTTTTTCAGATGGGGAAAGGAATTTTTTTAAGTCTCACAGAGATAGAAAAAGAACTGTATAAGGACTTGGAAAAAATGTTTGAATCTAACTTGTCAGTACAAAATATTCTTTGGGTTTACAGGAGACATTTCAAATTAAACATTGATTGTGGTGAAAACATGTTATTGGTAAGATTCTTAAGATCAGGCGTCACACTGTGTTTTATTTATTTATTAGAATATGTCAGAAGAAAAGTGACAAAGTGTCATGCGGCTGTGAGTCTGTCCATCGTAGTCTCAGGAGGAAGCAGCAGGCAGTATCCACCCTTTCAGTGATGACTGGCTGTCTTTCATATGAAGTTTGTTGCTGAGCTACTAGTAACTTCACCTTAACTTACTCTGCTGCAGGGTCTGTATTCCAAAACACTTTATCCTATAGTATTCTTGCAAGCTGAGGTCACACTCGGCAGTGCAGAACATCACAGGTAAATTGCACTATTTTATTTGTATTATGTTGCAAGGGCAATTATATGATAATTAACTATTTGAAAAAGGTGTTGGTTATGCATGTATGTGCCAAAAAGTGTTGGATCAGCTTTTGAAAGTCACAGAGGCGAGTCTTCTGCCTACACAGTTCTGTAGTTCATATGTTTCCTGAGCTTGCAAACATGATCTAAATTCACATGAGTGGTGTGTTAAGTGCCGCAAAATGTAACGCTCGATAACTTTGACCTCAGTATCCGTCTCAGCAAGATCACAGGCCCTAATCAGGATTTTACTGCAAAAACAAAGGTCTTGGGAGGCAAGCTTATCATAACAACAAAACCACAGAATTGCTTCCAAAGCTGATTTTTCAAATGTTGGTTCATTAGCATTTATATTGTGATTTTTTGAAAGGGGGAAGATTATCATTGTGGAAACAAAAGTAAGCAGTTTAGTGTTGGGTCATTGCAAGGCGCACTGGATGTTTAATATATTTCACCTCTTTGGTTAGTTTTTGTGATTGCTTAATGATTAAACAGATTTGTTTAGGTTCGCTTCACCTCGGTGGCCCTAGTTTGCATTTCTATGATCCTGTCCAAATTGGCAAAACAGCTGTGACCCAGGTACACTGTCATTAAGATGTGATTATGAAATCTCTGCTTCCAGGAATCATTGAATGTATTCATGTTCAAGGACAAACAATTCCGCTCCTCTGTAGTGTATGGGTTCAATTAGCACTACGTGGATAATTACCTGAGATAACATCAAGATGTGTTCATTGTTGTTTCACACCGCCTGTGGCAAACTGGGTACAATGACAGTATCCATGACATATATCAAGACTTCTTTGTGTAGTTTTCCATTAACTGAGGGTTTGAAGTCCTGAGTGAGGACAGTTTTTAAACACAGTCTCCCCGTCAAAGTTCACTCAGATGTTGCTAGTATTTACTTCTCTCAGTGAGGTGGCAAAGTGATGCAGACGATCCTAAATTCGTTTTACTCCCCACAAGAAAATTAAAGTGCTTGTGGCCAATAATCCAATTTAGTCACCCCCACCCCGCAGTGAGTTTGCTGTGATTGCTTTAGGGAGCAGTGGCAGGGCAATATTACAAATCTACCCATATTATTGTGATTGTGTACGCTTCAACTAAAGCCTCCTGACTCTGGAATCTGAGCACAGCATCTTAAGTGCTCTCCTGGCAGCTTTGTGTTGCTTATAAGACAGAGGCTCAGGATACAATTTAATTAAGTTGAGAATAAACCACAACAGGCTGTGTTTTCTTATTAGAACAAAGCGTGACAATGTAGTGATGTAGTCCGAGTGACAGAGCACCGACAGTGCTTTCTATCCAAAATGCACATGTTCACTCATTAAATGCTCCGTGTGATTTCACCTGCCATTTCCAGGACCCCAGATTATCTTTAATCTACTATTCTTGTCACTAGAACTACATTAGTTGTGCTTAAAGGAATAATTGATTTACAAAGTGACTATTTGTATATCAATTACTCACCGTGTGTTACCTTGAATTCATTAAGTAAACTTTGTTTTTCTTGCATACCTGCATGGTTAATAAGATGTATAATAGACAGAAGAGTCTCGATAAATAGAGGCATATATGGGCCATCTTCAACAACAGCAAAACTTTATCAAAACATTTAGTTACACACTTAACTTGTGATTGTAATCCAAGATGTATTCATCCAATTAATTTTACCTTACTCTGAAACTGGGACTTTTTAGGAATGGGAATGGGAAGTTTTACATTTTGCAAGGAAAAGAAACTGTGCTTCAGGAACTCAATGTAGCGCGGTGGTGGGGAATAATAGGTATAGAATATGTTTTCGTGAAGTATTTGTTTAACTCGCTACAATCCATATTATATTCTTTCATGTACTTAGCTGATTTAAACATTATAACATTCACTTACAACAACATCATTGTGGACAATCCAAACATTGCACAATCCATACATTATAACAAAACCCTGGACAGGCTCCAGTATGTTCAAAACTGTGCTGCTAGGGTACTCACACATACAAAGCCGTGGCAGCACATCACTCCCACCCTCATCCACCTCCACTGGTTGCCGGTCAAGTCCCGCATAACATACAAAATCCTCCTCCTTACCTACAAGTCCCTCCATGCCCATGCCCCCCAGTACCTATCGGACAGCCTTCGCCCACATGCCCCACCCCGGAACCTGCGGTCTTCAGACTCTGGCCTGCTTACCACCCCCCGCACCAAACTGCGAACCTTCGGGGACAGAGCCTTCAGTGTGGCATCCCCCACCCTCTGGAACGCTCTCCCTGCGGAGATCCGCAACATCCCCACGCTTGACGCCTTCAAAAGGGCCCTCAAGACCCATCTGTTTACTAAGGCCTTTGGCCCCTAATCTATTTGTTGTTTTGTCTGTCCGACTGGTTGTCTGACTGCCTTTTGTTTTTGTTATGTTTGTTTTGCCCCTGTTCTTCTTTGTAAAGCGACCTTGGGTCTCATGAAAGGCGCTGTATAAATCCTATTATTATTATTAAAGTTGAGATTAATGTTTCTGCTCCACTATTTTACCTGTACAACAACATCAACATGCAGTTTCTCTCTTACACATCTAACAGCCAGAGGCCTGTACTATGAAGCAGGATTTTCGCTTAGCCGGCTAACTTCAGGGAAAACTCGGGTTTCCGGTCCTACGACGCTGGTTCTCTTTTTAGCAGGCTAGATCTCCATGGTAACTTATGCTGAGCGGCTAACCTGCTCTGGAGCAGGTTAGGTTGCAGGCTAATAGATCAACTCAGTGAAAGCACTGCCTGCTGACCAATCAGAGCTCAGTGTGCGGAGTTTAAAGCGATCAAGTCATATTACAGGAGAAAGGAAATACAGTTTAAACTGCCGTCGCAGGAAAGACGGCCGGCAAAAATCACAGACTGTGTGAACGTGAAAATTAATAGAATATCCCCTCCCATCTTCAGAGCAATCTGACTATTATAACATTAGCGTTAAGAAAGCTTACTTAAATATCTGCCACAACATAAGTAACCGGATCAGAGTAACATTAAGTACAGTCTGCGGCACTGTGAGTGCAGACGTCGATGTGTCCCATCATTCATATCACATCACATCATAATGTACCATATATTTCCTTATCTGAGTCAGCTTCTTGAGCCGTATCTGGCCGTGCAACACTCACAATGTCACATACTGTATGCAGAAGTATTATTTTAAGCAACACATTAAGTTGACGAAACACTCGAGTCAAATGTAATTAAAGTCAGATCGTGTCTTAGACGGGGCAGTGATATCATAAACCTGTTAATGTACGCATTCAAACACTTTTTCTTTTACCAGCTGTATTCACCTTGCAGGTGCAGCTATGTGGCTTTTATCCTGGATAAAGCGTTTAAGTCATGGATGTTTAAAGTTTAACTTCTTCATATGTCTAATATTATAGTTGACTTTTCATTCAGGAAGTATGCCGCGCTGCGCTGTCAGTACGCTTGTCCATGTTTGTGATTGGTCGAATGCTCTAAATACCACCCCTTTCATGTGAACGCGCACCTAACTAGAAGATAGGACACGGCTGGCTTGAGCGATCCACTTGATAACCAGCGTCGTAGGACCGCTTAGCGAGAGCGCGTATGTTTTGGATTGGGCCAACCGGCTAACTCAAACATATCCAGGTTAGGTTGAACCGGCTTCGTAGTACAGGCCTCGGGTGAGCTCAAAACCCAGGTAGAGTAAGTATTTAGATTAGAATTATACAATGATTACAGCATTGTGTATTCCTGATGGATGCAAGTCATTTGTAAAAAGTTGAGTCTGTTTTATTTGTTAATGAAAGATCTAAATGAGCTCTATTTAAAGTTGCTGTCAAACCACCTAAAACCCACACATCTCTCAGGACAATGGACTTTTTAGTAACAATTGAATCATTTTCTAAATCCAACCACTCATTTACAGTGCCTAATCTGATCACACATTCAACCACAACTGCAGTTTAGTATTAACCCTACATTCATATAACTTCAACAGCAGCTCCATTTTTTGAAGGGCAGCAATAATAAATAGTATTATCCATTTAAATTATCTATTTCATCTTTGAGTAAAGCTTTTTTGTCCTTTGTAGTTACTGCAGCTTTGGAATATTAATAATTATTACGATCCTAACTATGAAAAATCTGTCATATTTTGCAAGCATTTGAACTTTTGTTCAGAGCTATAGTGCCAATATTCTGTCACAGCAAGTTTTAACCTCAAGCATCACAGATTCGTATCTCTCTTCAGTGTTTTGAGTAGAGAAAGCGCTCATTTGACATTTCTCACATGGTGAATATTTTTATTTCATTCTGTTTGTAGTTAGTAAACAACATTGTGGCTGCATGGAACATATTAAACTTCTTGCAATTTTGGTTGGGAGGCAAGTTAAGAAATACATCGCCAGTTGAATATTAAGGCAGTGCTCACAAAATAAATATTGTAATATTTCATTTTTTATTCATGGATCAACTTATTATTCTCCTCATCAAGGGAACAAATCTTGTTCATAAGTACCTCCTAAGTTTGACCTTGTGGGAATAAAAAAGAATTCCATTAAAATATACCACCAATTATGGTTTGAAATAGTGCCCATGTCCATGAGAAACACCTCCGCTGTCAGCCACTACAAAGTCACTCACAGATTTATCATCGGGGAGAAGGGTACGTCTCTCTCTGTCTCTCATGGTTTACAACTCTGCTCTCTCTAGCTTCTGCTTATTCATGTTTGCAAATGGAAATTTAGTTGTCCAACATTATTACAAAAACACGAACCTTATAAGATGGCTGCTGCTTTCTCACATTACACACAACTTCGTATCAAATCTCCTAACCTTAATACTTGTTGCTCAGTTAATTAAAAAAACACTATGAACTAATTTACAGTGTTCACTCTGATGGGCTGTGTGTGTCCCAACTAATTATTCTCATAAGTATCTGTCAGTAGTGCTTAAACTTGGCACTCCATAATTTGGTATGCTTGTACCACTGATGGGCCATCGCTCAGCAGGGGTCATCAGCCTTTCCTCCAAGCAGGGCCACACCAGTTAATTGAGGTTAATTTATATCTCTGAATAACTGCGAGCAGGTGCTGGAGGTTGATGGAGGTTGTCTAACAGAAGCATGTCATAAATGAATTTTCCAGTGTGTTTCTTTCTGTGAGTATGCCTTCAGTAGCTCAGTTTGATCTTTGTTGACACGTGCAAATCAATTATACTTTGTCATGTTTTTGATGTGTTTGTGTGGAGTAAAGAGAGACAGAAAAAGAGTGAGTGTGTATGCTTCCCTTGTACACCCGATTACGTTTTGTCCTTAAAACATAACTAGAACATGTAGTGTTATGATTCAAACGCTAAATAGTCTCTGCTTTACCCGTGTTCTGGATGTAAATTGCAGCATTAAGAACACTTACGCGTATTATGTGAAAACCACCACAGTTGATCCCAATTATTTGGAAAATGTATCAGCATGATGGTGTGAAAATAAATTCTCCGGTCCTTTATATAATAAGCAATTATCCTCCACTCAGGTCCACCCATGTTTGTTGGCATGCCACAGCTAGGATGCCAGTTTCAGGCACATCAGTATGTATCCATTGTTCAATTATAGGGCGACTATGCTTGTTTTCCTTCTTCTATATTAATTTTAACATTGTTTATATAATATAAAGTTCTGCAGAAAATGATTGTCTGCCTGCCAAAAGCTTAAAATGTATTTTTTAAACGGAATTGAAGTACATCTTAAACTGTGTGTTACTCTTTTCTCAATGGGAATTCTTTGAAGTCAACTTATGGAGAAAAATAACGTGTCTTTGAAAATTAAATTAATGTCATGTTGTCAACTCTGTTGTTGCAGTTAATGTGTAACTATTCATTTTGAGTAAAGTCATTTGAAAAAATACCGTATGACTAATCCAGCAAGTTATACAACATTGTCATTGTAAACTTGTTGGTTTTATTCCAAACTCAACTAACTAAATTGTGGTTAATTTGATCATGTGTGTGTATTCATGAACTTGCTTACTGAAGTCCACAAGAACTAAATACAAAACTTTATTTTCCAGGTATGAGATCCGGGACACACACATGGTGGAGGAACATGTCATGCAGATCCTGAAGGAGAGGGCCAACTTTGACAACTATAAGCCCCGCCCCTTCAACATGCGTGAATTCTACGACCGGACGGGCCACGACATAAAGGAGATGCTGCTCTCCTGCTCCTACCGAGGCGGCGAGTGCAGTGCCGACAACTTCAAAGTGGTGAGTCAGACTTATCAACAGTAAATACCCTCCAGCTGAGGCCTGCCAAGACAAGGGTCACTGAGCATGTTGGTGATACAAGGTCAGCATTGATGAAGTTTATTCTAACATCTATATGATATGACCTCAGTTAGGAAATCATTCCTGAAGGGTCATTTTGGGAAATGACAGGGCTGAATATACAAGGGTTTGAATTGTATGGAATGATTTTCTTTTTCTTCAGTTCAATCTAAGAAGGTTTCATCAGTCCAGATAATTTTGTTCCCCCCAAGGATGAACTGCCCTAGAGTGTACATCTTAATATGTTGACACTCACCTTTTATATGTTTGCTACAAGGCCTTGCACACTGGCCTTAGCGTGCTAGTGCAGTCTCTGAAAGGCTGAGCGATGCCCCATAATGACTTGAACGTTTTTCCTGAACCCTGGGTCACTGCTATAACACTTGCTTTATGAGTAAGAAGTTAAAACATTGGTCACTTTTCCTGGAAGTGTTTGTTTTTCTCATCTATTGGCATCCAGTTATTACCTTGAACCTGTGTGACCTTAATATTTGTTGTACAGTATATGGATTCATCACAGCAGTAAAAACAAACACTAAGCTGTCTGAAACACAATGGGTTTACCTTGTCCTGATAGTGTCTGTCTAATAACTGCAACAACACCTGTTCACATTTATTGAGACACTTCCTGCCAGAGGTGGGGACTCGAGTCACATGACTTGACTCGAGTCAGACTCGAGTCGCATATTTTTTGACTTGAGACTTGCTTGACTAACATTGATAAAAGACTTGACTTGACTTTGACTTGGTATTCATGACTTGAGACTTGACTTAAGCTTGAGACAGATGACTTGAAAGGACTGTTTAAAATTAAATATTTGCGTTTGTTTTTGTAGTGAGATATTACGTTTAGTTTTTTCGAAAAACGTGATTGGGTGATTATAGCGCCATGCGCGCAAACCTGGCAACCCACTAGACGGTAGGAGTGTCAGTTAACATGGCAGCGGTTAGCGTTACTCCAAAAATAGTGAAGTTTGGATTCAAGGATTATGTTGTCGATGACGCTAATAAGAAGAGAACAGCGGTATGCAGGGTCTGCAGCATAAAGATCAGTGACACGACCACCACAACATCCAACTTCATTCGTCACTACACAAAAACCCACAGAGAAAGGTGCGTGAATGTGTTGTGTTAGCTAGAAAGCTAACGTTAAGTTTAAGCTACGTTAGACTTGGTTTCAAATCGATTAAGCATTGCAAAGAGAAGACAAAACGGTAAATGAACACTAGAACCGCCAAGGGATTCATTTTGACTAACCCTGATACTGACAGGCTGTCAGGAGAGGGAGAGAGAGAGAGAGGAAAAGAGATGCCTCGTTTATTTCCCCTGTGTTATTATCAGAAGTTACTGTAAACTTTTGAATAATGTAGTTCATCTACTTTTAGTAGTTTGTTTAAATGTTTTAATTATGGTGTTTTTGTTTGTAGAAGTGCATCAATCCTTGATTTATTGTAAAATGAATCTGAACTTTTTGATCCGTTATGATGATAAACTGAAGCAATTTCTAAATTAACCCAATTAAGTGAGTTTTAAATCCTAGCTATATTGTCTGCAGTTCTAGGGTTAATATGAATCTAATATGATTGTCATCGGTCTAAATTAGATTTCAAATGATTAACTGTGTATGTAATGAAGATCATAGTGTGGGTTAAATCCATTTTCATAACTACTGTCTTTTAACTGATTTAAATGCGGAAACTGGGCTTATTCATCAGAATTTCGTATGACTTGACTTGACTTGACTTGACCTGAGCAATGACTTGACTTGACTTGCTTGACTCTCACCACAGTGACTTGGGACTTGCTTGATACTTGTAGGTCAAGACTTGAGACTTGCTCATGACTTGCACATGTAGGACTTACTCCCACCTCTGCTTCCTGCAGATAGACCTATTATGTAGGTAAACACTAACACAATTAATGTTAAATAAATGTGTATTTTGATGACACAAGAACATTTAGAAATGTTGACTTGTTGTAGAGATAAGTACAGTTCTTTCTCTTTTGTGTACGGTAGCAATTCAGAACATTAATTATGAATCGACTTGTGAATATTGTCAGTTTGTGCTGTTTGGACTGTTAGCTGCTAGCGTTTAGCTCAGCCATCTCCATGTTCAGAGTCGCTTGCGGGCCATTCTAGCCCAGACTGATTTTCATAGATATACTTGAGTTTGGTAAAGCGCTCTTTTTAATTTGCTTGATATTTGACTTTCTTTACCTTCCAAATGTGTCTGTCTGCGGTGAGTAGTAACTGTAATAATGACATTACCTTTTCCATGAACATTTCTGCAATGTATAGTTCTTAAAGAATTAAAAAGCCAATGGAAAGGAACTATAACAAAAATATTTGTGTGGACAGAAGGCAACACCAACTCCAAATCTGAAATACAATGAAACAAATGCTAGCAAAAAGTGAGAGAAAGGCAGGAAGCCCTTTCTCCTTTCCTAAAAAACAAGACTGACGAGAAAAAACACTTTTACACATTTAAATGTCCTACATAGCAACTAGTGGCAGCCTGCTGTGGGAGCGGGAGCTAATCCAGAAACTCTCCAGCAGATGCTCATGCCAGAGCAGGTGGCAAGTGATGATGGCACTGCGCTGATAAGGTTGAAGTCTCTAGAGAATCCTGTGGTAATTGCAAACTACTACACATTTGTAGATGTCTCATAAAGAGTCCAGTCGCCATATATCACTGATAATCTCTTCTTTGGTGCCTTTTATGAAGAGATACTCCTGCTTTTGAACTAAATAAATGCAGAGCCCCATCACTATATTTAGTGATGTGTTCATCTTGTATTTCCTGTCACTTATAGAGGAAGTTATCCCTCCCATGGCCTTCCATGACATGAACTGAACACATTTCCAATAAATGCACATGCTTAAATAAAGAGGGTTACATTACAGGTGTGCTTCACATGACAAGCATTCGCTCTTCCAGACCATTGCACCAGTTTGATATATGGCATGCTTGTCTGTGGAAAGAAAATGTCTGAAAAACAACCATAAAATTATTATTAAATGTGGCCCTCTGTCTCGTTCTTACACTCTGTGTCCTTCAGTGGTCCTCTGAGGTAGGATATGTCATGCTCTAAAAAATGTTTCCCACCTCATATCCCATAAAACCATGTAGTACAGCAGAGGGCTGCAACCCGTCCCACATGGCGGTGCTGCTCTAATGTGCTGATGTGACCACATTTACCGTAGTTAGTTGTGCTTATGGCAGATGGTTCTTCGCAGGGCTCTACAGTAATGGTACAGTAGTGGACCCGGATAGCACAGCTCAGCAGAGAGCGCTAATGGTGTGGAAAGAATCCTCAGTGTAATAGAAAAAGGACGATGAACGCTCCCACCAGTCTCTGCTTCCTAACGCCAGAGCATGGAAGCAGGAAAGCTGTGATTAACACTGTCGGCAGCTTCTGCTTGTTTACCCCCAGCATCGGCGGTGTGCCTCGCTAGCTGCTCCCTGGCTGTGGAAGATAGACAGGAACAAATGTCTCCTGCTCCATATGGATTAAGGGAGCCCAGTCCCATAGCCTCATTTTATCAGTACTCTGATAAAAATGGAAAATAAGGCAGTCAGACCGTAATTTAATGCAGATAGTCTGAGATCCAGAGAGAATCCTTTAATACTGCCTAGACTTCTAATGGATAAGATGAATATACGGATTAAATTGGTTTCACATTGTTTTCAGGCTCACGTTCAGGTGTTGAGTCCACCATTATCCAATCAGAAGCGCAGTATTCCCTTGTCAGAGGCCAATGTAAGCGTCAATTAATAATCACTATACCCAGCCAAAGTACCAATTTCCAGCCATTAAAGCCGGAAGAATTACAGATTAGTAACTCCCTCTATCTTTGAGCCACTCAATTCCTCTCATTGTGTCCCTGCCACCTCTTTCTCCTTGGAAAGACTTCTGATCATTACGAATTCAGAACATTGGGCTTACGTTTTTTAGCTCGGATGATATTAAAGAACAGCAGAGAGGAAAAATTACCCTCAATTAATATGAAAAGCTGGCCTTAGGCTTCTGAACCATAGCTGCAGGAGATAATAGGAGAACACTAAAATGTGAGTGAAATAAAAAAGCCATAATTAGATTTTTTTATGACCTTGGGTTTAATTAAAGAGACGCACACGTTGACACATGGAGAAATCATGAATGTACAGAGTCAGTTTAAGAATCATTGGGTACAAAATCTATCTGAGTGTATCCCTAAGGAACTCTGCAGATTATAATTTGAAAGGTGACTGATGTCATGACATCTAAATGATTCCGTTTTGAACACTTCAAGACACCCACGTCTGACAACAATCACCAGGGAAAACTATGACTGACTTTTAATTTTAAAAACCGAAGCAAAGGAGGTTTGGTGGAGAGACAGAGGCATCACATGAGAGAGGGGATAAGAACAGGAGAAAGAGGGACATAAAGAGACCCAGGTAACAACAAAGTCCCTGGGATGAAAGTAAACATAATGGTCAAGTTCTGCAGAGTGACACAAAGACACATTGCAGGAGCAGCAATAGAAGTACTATCAGAAGACAAACAGCTTTGGGCTCATTTAACCTCTCAGAGAATGCAGAGCTGCTCTGTATCTCCCTTTTCCAGCTGCCCAATTGTTTGCCCAAACACAATGAAGTATGGCAGCTCAACAGGTCTCTCTTTTCCACTCTTATATTCTTTGTTTAAAGCAAAATGTCAGTTTCTATCCAAATGCATAAATGAAGTACACATATTATAGTTCGTAGTGGTATTTAGACAAGTTCTCAGGCTGTCTTGAACCTGTTTTTTGAATATGTCCCTGACAATGACCTCCAGCACTACTTTAATAGTTCATTCAATATTCAGTTTTAATTGTTAACAGCAACATGTGTCTTGATGTATTCACACGGATGAGCAGTCGCCAGCCAACTGAGAAAGTGGATTTGTAGATGATG